TTAAGCATGCGTGGAACTCAACGGGGCCGTAGACAAACGCAGGCCTGGAAACAAATGGGACTGAGGCAAAAGTCAATGTTGATTATTGGTAACTTCCTCTTATTTTTATTGCTATTACACGGGGTATTTTTACATTTGGATCTTTTGATTTAAGTCAAAGCAATTTTTCTTTGAGTTATTAACATACAACATCTGTAGAAATTAAAACATGTCTTAGAACTTTTTGACTTACTCATGGAACGGTTCCTCACTAGAACCAATTGTTACTTCTTTAAGGTTCCTCTCCATCTTACACTTTTCAGTGTTGAAGCAGCAGCAGCTGTTAATAATGTGATTTAGGGACCAGAACAAAAAAGTGTCACCAGTCCCGAGTCAGCAATCGGTTTAAATTATTTCACAAACGTTAGAAAGGTCAAAAGGTGACATGTTGTTGCTTTTCTGTAAATGAATACTTCAATTTGAGGCTTTTGTACAAATTGGGTTAAAAAGACAAACGACGAAGTGAAACATTTTCCCAGTCCCTTTTGATTTTCCAACATTAACCAAACACTCGTAACTCTGCAGGCTTGAATTTATTCCTCTCAGCTCCCATCAGGCTTAGAGGCACTTTTACGCACCATAACATAGACTCAGTGTTTCTGCTCGCTCAGCCGTCAGACCCTCCGTGGTGACTTGAACCAGAGCCAAGTGTGTTCTGCTGGGACTCTCAGGGTCCTGTCTTGGTTCCTCAGCAGAACCGGATCACCATTAACCAGGTCACCCAGCAGGACACCAGCGTCCCTGGAGGACCACCAAGTCCTGGGACGTTTTCTTTTCGTTACGAACGAATGACAAACGTGTGAAAAAGCCAAGCTGAGATGCAGCTTTGGGGAAATCCTAACACAGCACTGTGTGTGATGTGTGTGTTTTTAATGAGAGCCACACAGTCACTGTGCTGCAGGGGAAGAGTGGCGCTCTTTTCTTTTTTCTCTCTCTCTCTTTGAACACTTTGAACTCTAATTTACACCGATGAGTAGAGCTCATGGGGGGATTTACAGATTGTGTGTGTGTGAGATCTAAAGTTTCAGAGTCAGAGGTCACACAAACACAAGCAGCCAATCCATTTCATCCTAATATTTAGCCCAGAAAATGAGCTGGATGGTTCATGGTGGATCAGTGCACAGACAGACACAGAGTCAACCTCACACAGTCTGACAACTCAACTGTCACCAGTGCTTTGACTGTAACTTATGTCAACAGCAGGTCAAAAGGTCACAGCGTCAGTCAAATCTTTATTATACGTATTAATAATAACAATTTAAAAAATATGATTTCATTTATTA